ATATATATATATAAACCAACACTGTTATTGTACATGTGCAAAATTTTGCAGATAATGTCTGTCTAAAACAACTTATAGCTACAGTATGCCTTCCTTTCATAGAAATCTGTTCAGACTTCAGTTTTACTATCACATCTTATATTTCTTGTCCACTATCATAGTGGATAAGAAATATAAGATATGGAACAAATGTGGGAGATGGTTATAACAGGTACATGTCTTCATCACTTGATGCCTTTTGTTAAATGGAGAAAAATACAGGTCAACAAGTTGTTACTTGCTTTAAACACACACAAGTGAAAGAGCTGCTTGTTTCAGCAGGTCCTTTGCTTTTTACAACCAAAATAGGATATGAAGGGTTTCATTATTTGCAGAGGCGAGGCCTGTAAGCCTCTACTATTACATATTGTCACACTAGGGGCATGTCTACACACTATACATGTTCAATGTAGAAACAAAAGAAGCCGACATCTCAATCTTGTTTTCCGTAAAGCAACTTAATACCTTCAATAGAACGTCTCACCTACCAGGTTCATTTCTTTGTACAGGACTGGAGTTACCTGTAAAACCTCTGTTATATCCCCTGGGCCAGATTACTTATGCCAAAATTTTATTAAAGCATTTGCACCTGGACAGATTTTAGTGTTGCATAACACGCTTACACAGCAAAAACACAAGATGCTGGGTGTAAAAGAAACATCAGTCAGCTCCAAAACCCAACATATGATGTTTGAAGAATCCAATCAAAAAAAGAAGAAAAGAGGTAAAGAATAAATACATGAAAAAAGTGAGTAACTTCCTTGTGAAGTTCTGTTTTGTAGAGCAGTAAAATGTTTATACATCCATGAGGACAAACCTAGACACTAAATTACCTTTTTTAATACAAGAAAACACTTGAAGCAACATGTGTGATGTCACAGTTTCTAAACACTCAGGTTTTGGCAAATGTTAATCCTTCAATAATCCAGAAGAACTTGCTGGCACTAGCCAGTAAGATACTTTGTGCCAACAGCCCTCACCTAATAAGGAAATCATGCAGTAATGTTGGGATAACATCAAAATAAGTAAGCCCACCAACACAGACCAATATTTGCGTTTTGACTCCCACCACCCACTGGAACACAAGTTAGGAGTGATCAGGACTCTGTACCACAGAGCAGACAG